ATCTCGCAAAGGAACCAGGGTGGGATGCTTGGGTGCTTGGGGCAGCCCCTATTTGCCAAATGGCACAGAAATATTTAACAGCTGATGGGGCTGTCTGGGCTCACCCTGGCCAAGCTGCAGCACTCGCCTCCAAGCTGCCCCATGCTCTGCCACCTTGCTTGGGAAGAGGACTGGGGCAAACAGAGGGCTTTTGCTGCCTCAAGGGAGCGTGTGCCTCAAATCGGAGGTAGTTTGTCTCCATCGTGCCTGCCCTTGCCTGCTCTGCCTGCCATCCTGCTGCCCCCGAGCCTCTCCGCAGTTAGAATTCCGCTCGTAGTGCCTCCATTACTTACCTTGAAACCTAGAGAAGTGGGAAGTTGAGTTAAAAGACGGTGAGGAGTAAGATAGCAGGTCTGTGTAATAACAGGAAATCCTGTCAATGGGGGTGGTAGCTGGTCAGCCTGGGAGGGAGAAGGGGTGAGATAATACAGGCCAGTGAATGGTTCCCCATTTTTCCCCATATTATGGCTCCTTTTGGCTCCTGACTGAACTTCACGCTCTGTTTCCCTTTTTTGTGGCCTGACCCCGCATCAGTGTCCCCTTCCCATTACTCCCAGCTCCCAGCTTCCTCCTCCTAGCACAGAGCCTCGTGGTGGTGGTGGTGGTAATTATTAGCAGCAGACTTCTATTTTGAGACGAAACTGGGCATGGAAAGTCCAGTCTGTGAAACAGATTGGGGGGGAGGCACTGATGCCCAGGGGTTGCTTTCATGTTAGTCTCCAGGACCTACAATCCTTTTCTCCAAAGCTCTGTCTCCGTTTTCCTCCCTTCTCCCCCAGGCTGTTCTGGCCCTGACATCCTTCTCCCTGCCTATGCATTTCCCCTGAGTCCTCAGTCCCAGGCATAAGACCTGCTAGTTTGACTGTGCTTGTAAGAAGATGCTGAGGAGCAGTGCCCGGGGGTCTTCAGGAGTGTGGGTTCTGGAGTCCAACAGACCTGGGTGAAATCGTAGTAGCTAATGATACTCACCAGGCCTTGCACCGTTCTTGGAACTTGACAGGGATGCACTCATCTTACCCTTGCCGTATCCTGTGAGGTAGGCATCCGCATCATCTTCATTCCTCAGTTCTATTGGAGGAGACCGAAGTATGAAGAGCCAGTGCATCTGCCCAGGCCGTTGCTAACAACAGCTGCTAAGTGGCTGTCGGGACTCACACCCAGATAGTTCAACAAGGCGCCTGTCATCTCTGGCCTGTGCTTGTTGTGGTCAGTTTCCTTGCCTATAAAAAGTGAGACTGTTACTACCTTTCAGTTCTGTTTTAGGCTTAAATGTAGAAACACATAGGTCACTGACAACAGTGTCTGGCTCCCAGCAAGTGCACAGTAAATGTTAACTGGAAGAAAAAAAGACTCCATTGTGGGAGCAATTTGTTTATTCCTTATTATGATGATTAATTGTTTTTTCCAACAAGTAATTGCTTTTCTGTTGGCAAGGAAGGAGCCGTAGGAAAGAGTGGGAAAAGTGGGAGGGAGGCTGCCAGCTTCTAGGCCTGAGCCTCATGGGACACATGTCCCAGGTATCGACAACTAGGATTTTTTCTTCTTTGTATCTAGGGAACCTCAAACTACAGGCTCTTTAATTCGGCTGTCTCTCTCCTGCTTTGCTCTTGTTTCTTGTCCTTTACCAGTTGGTAAAATTGGTGAGTAGGGTTGCAGGGTGAATTTGTCACTCTGGGATGTTGGCCTCGGTCTATCCAATGCCTTGATGCTGTTTACACTCATCTTTTGGGTAAGATGAACCTCCTGTACCTCACGAGAGAGGCCCAGACAGGGAGAGATCATCGTCCGAGCTCAGCGCCATCCTTCTTTGCTAGCATCTTGGTGCCATGTCTAACACACAACAGGTTTCAGTAAATGGTTATGATCAATTAACGGGGTTTCTGTTCTCTGTGAGTTGCTCTTCCTCTTTAGGGGGATTAAGGAGAGTATGGCTCTTAAGTGGGGAAACTTCTGCCAGGTTCCACTGGGGATGGCGTGTCAGCAGAGAGGTATGTAAAATCCCCTTTTCTTAGTTCAGCAGAAATAAGAATAGAGTTTTTCAAAAGCGCTGTTTCCTTGTAACCCGATGCAAGCAGAATAAACACAGAGTATGGTCGTAGATAGTAGATTTGCAACATGACTCAGCTGTGGTCTACCCTCAGGTTGGCTTAGGCCAGTCTGTGGGTAGATCCCTGGCCCCTTTCCTCCCCTTTTTACTCTGTAATGTGGGAATGAAGGTTCTCAGGGCCCCAGTTTTTGGGAGGGGGGAGGCGGTTAGATGGGCAGGTTCTCAGGACTCATAGCATTCTCTGTCTTCCCTGAACAGTCTGATGCTATGACCTTGATAGAGACTCACTCCCACAATTTTTTCTTGGCTTCAGACCATCTATAGTAACTTTAGTTGTGGTTATTGTCAACTTTAGAATCTTTTAAAAAATTATTTTTGAATAAGATTGTATTTACATGGTTCAAAAAATCTTAAATACGTAACAAGGTATACAGTGGAGAGTCTCCCACCCCTGTATCCCAGGAATCCAGTTCCCAATCCCCCTTCCCAAAGATAAATATTGTAATAATAGCTTCTTGGGTGTTCTTCTAGAGTTTCTTGATGAGTGTGAAAGGCATATATAGTAGAACCTCTATAAGTTGACCAAGCGAGGGCTAAAACAAACTGGTCAATGTACAGAGGTGGTCAATATGAGGAACTAAGCCTCCTACTGATACCTGGTGCATGTCCAGTCTATGAAGCTTAAGTCAACTTAGGGAGGTGGTCAACTATGGAGGTGCTACTGTGTGTGGAAATGGAGCTGTCAATGCTGAACACTTTATACAAGGTCCACAGACTGGGCTGGAGTCAGGGGGTGGAAAGTGGCATCTGTGGCATCAGCATCTCCCTTGATTTCAGGGAATAAGGTTGGCCAAAAGGTTTTGTTGCACAACTTAATTTCCAGCGTCAACAGCTAGCTTCTCCAGTCTCTTACTGGTGCGGGGTGAGAGGCTAGGGGATGGAGAGGGGACGACACACAGCTCCTGTCTTTGAGCAATCCTCCTGCTCAACCTCCCAAAGTGTTGGGATTACAGGTGTGAGTTGCCACATCTGGCCTCACTTGTGGTTTTGAGATTTCCTAATAGCCACCAAGACTTTTTTAGGGTGTTTCTGTCTCTTGTGGTCAGAAGTAGACTCTTTATCTCTTCCTGTTCCAAATTTTTCACCTGTCGTGGGTGGGCCCACTGGGTTGCTATTTCCCACCTAAGAGATGCCTCTGCCTTGAAGACCAGCACAGCCCAACCTACTCTTAGCTCAGTGACTTCTGATGAAGGCTTCCCTGTCTCTGACCAGACTTGCCCACTTCTGGGAGCTCCCCCAGTTGTGTTGATGGGTGGCCCTCCAGGAGCCTGCCATGAAATTGGCAGCATCTCATGAAAATGGCTGCATTCTCAAAATGCAGCATCTCCAGTGGACACATCTTTCATCTTCCTTGTCCAGTGTATGTTTGCAGCTCTGCAGGGCTCTTTCCAGCACAGTAAGTTAGATGATGGGCATATCTGTCTTCTGTCTCATTCCTACCCTGTTTTCTGCACAGAACATCTTGCGGTGGCCTCCTATTTATCCTTCAGTGACTTGTGTGAACATGTTCTGGGAGGTCAGACCCAGCAAGAGTTGTCAGGACCTTGAGCATTTGCTCCTTAATAACCGTGGCGGGTGGGATGAGAACAGGAAGGCATTTGAAGTCTTGAGAGTTGACTCCCTGTGGAATGTATTGGATCTGGGGAGCCAGTTATTCTTGTTTTTAGCTTCCTCACCTTGTCTGGATCAAAGGAAAGAAAGAAGAGCAGGGCTGGCCCCATTATTTGTCATAGGGAGACGGAGACCTCATTCCAAAATCCCTACTTTTTTGGCACTTAAGATTCTTTGAAATTATCTTGTGAGTATATTATTAATGAGCTATGTATCCACCAACCCCCAAGAGTGACATGTCCTAGAGTACACCCCTTGCTTTCTGTGGTCACCTTGTACTTTTGATGCTAGAGTAATGTGTAGCTCAGTACTTGTTTGTTGATGGATAAATAAAATCTCTATTCCTCCTCACCCTGCTGTGTTCCCCTTTGAAGACTGCCTTGGGGTGGGTGCTAAGATCACCCAAATCATGGTGCCATGTTGAATTTCAAGTTGGAGCGTCTTTGATGGATTTGGAGGAGAGATGGGGTAGGATTATGGGAAAAGATGTTGAATTTCCAGAAGTCCTGGATTCAAATCTTGACGCTGACTTATTTGGGGGACCTCTCTGGGCCTCACTTTTGGTTTTATCTGTAGAGTAAGAATAATATGAACACCTGCCTCCACACACACATACTTCACGATCCTTGAGGGAAGAATGGATGCAAAATGTGTTTTAAGCTATAAAGTGCACTGTAGATGTGGAGGATTGCAAAATGGTGATGGCCTTTCTCTTCCTTGTTGCTTTTTGCTTCATATCAAGCCAAGTGCCTTGGACTGCCCCGCCTACTCTTTTGGAGTTACGATTTCTTTTGACCGCTCTCTTTAGGTTGTTACTTTTGCAGAGTAAGCTAGATTTTCTAACAGAGGTGTCCAACCTTTTTTTTTTTTTTTTGTCTTCTACACATTGAAAGAGTTGCCTTGAGTGATACATTAAATGCACAAACAGTAATGAAAGGGGATTAGCAAAAAAAGGGGTCCATGCATACTTGTCATGATATCTGCCACCACAGATAAGCAAAACAGTCCTCCCAAAATCAGCATGCAGTCCCCAGGCTGAAGGTTGGACACCCCTGGTATAGGGTGCCCATCGCAGCAATTCCCCCATAACACTGGGGGAATAGAGAGAGTTACCAGGACCTAGGAAAGTGCCTCCTTTCTTAGGCCTGGCCCAGCCCCTGTGCCACATGGTCATCATTAGGTGCCGTGAGCTAATCAGCAGGAGGTGTTCCGTCAAAGGCTGACCGTGTTTCTCTCTCCCCAGGAGGCTGTTGAAGAGTGAACTTGGATCATTCATTACAGACTATTTCCAGGTAAGCCATGTGTGTCTGAGCTCCGTCGTCATGTGGGTGGGCCCATCCATGTACCTAAAGGGATGCCTAGTACCATCTAGCTGGACATTCCTTCATGTGAAATGACAATCCCGAGTCCCTGCTTTGTGCTGAGCTCTGCAGTGCAGTGGCTGCAGAGGGTACCGGCCAGCGGGGGCCCTGCAATTAGCACACATATCAGTCCCCCCCGGCAGGTCTCAGGACCCCTTCACGCTTGTAAAAAGTCTTGCTTATTTGGGTTCTATCTTTACCATATTAGAAATTAAATCTGAGACGCTTTAAGATGTGTGTTAACTCATTTAAATAATAAGTCTATTGCATATTAGCACAGATAGCATTTTTTCTCCTTGGTGCTCATTAGTTACAACTACAAATAGTAGTTTTATGAAAAATAACTTCCAGAATAAGAAGTAAGAAGAGTGGCATCGCTTTCTGTGTTTGCAGATCTCCGCACTGTCTGGCGTCCTAGAAGATGGCTGGGTTCTCCTGTCTGCCTCACGTTCGCCCCTTGTGATATTGCCCGTCAGGTAGCCTCAGTACAACCTGTGCAGAATGCCAGGGAAAAGGCAAAAACAGCTTAGTGTTATTGAGAAAATCATTTTGACCTTGTGGATCCCTTAAAAGGGCCTGGGCGATCTTCTGGGGGGACCGTGAGCCACAGCACCCTCTGAGAACCATTGCTCTGAGGACATTCCCTCCCACCCCCATTGCTTGGGGTTTAATTGGGTGTAGTTATATGTGCCCTTTAGCCAAGTTATTTGCCACTAAGCCTCCTGGTGTGTTCTATGAAAGGCAGAATTCAATCAGACAATTAAACTCCTCTCCTTCTTATACAATACTGTTTGGGGGCTGTGGAGTTCAAGGTTCCAGGTCCGGTTATTAGAGGATAGTTTCAAATGCACAGACACAGGCGGCTGCTGCCTTCCTGCCTCTCACCAAAGGCATATTGGTAGAGAGGACACGGGAGGTGTTGAGGAGGACAGTGAGTCACTAACAGGGTGACATCTTAGTGAAGTCAGAGTCCCAGCTCTCATTTGCTGCGTGGTTTTGAGCAAGCTTCTTTGCTCAACTGTGCCTCAGTTTTCTTATCTGTAAAACAGAACAGAAGCATGACTTACCAGACAAGGGTATTGAATGGTTTACACGGACACGTGTAAAGCACTTAGCCCATAGTGTGTAGCGGGCAGCATAGGGTAGTGGCCAAGGTCATGGCCCTTAGAAGAGACTGCCAGGGTTCGGTGCACAGCAGAGCCACTTCCGAGATGCCTGACCTCTCTGTGTTTTTGTTTCCTTTTCCGTAAAACAGGGGCAGTAGGACCAAGCCTTATGGCATTGTTGTGAGGACTAAATAAGTTGTTTATACCGTGCCTAGTGACCAGCACAGAGTAAGGCAGAGTCATAAATGTTTATTAAATTTATACAGGTACCTATGTGTTATTATTCTAAAGCGTAATTCATCCCTCTTGATGGGAAAGTAACATAAAAATGCATCACATCTTGGTTCAGGTTGACAATATTATTCTGTATCCAAGTAGTGCATACTTTTAAGACAGTTTAAAGAGATTTGGGGTTTTAAAAAAATAATGCAGACATCCTTTTATTATTTTTCTTCATAAGATTCAGGAAGCTTAAACTTTTTATGTGCACTTTAAAAGCATGACTAATGTCAGTTGTTTAAACACGTAAACACACGCAGAAAACAGCTCCTCTCAATCTGGATACACCAAGTCCCAACTCGGGTCCTATGTCTCCGCCACTTAGAAGACAGCTCCTGTTCAGGCAGAGCCGAACGTAAAGATTAAGAAAGAGATAATTAGTCACAAATGTGAATCATTTCAGTTGCCTTTGACTTAAAGGTCAGTGTTGGCCTCTGTCTCTTCTCTTGCTGTCTCTATTGATTGATTTTAAATCCAGCCACAGAGAAGTGGTTTTTCTATCAGTCCTGGAGAAGCCTGCTGGGCTGGGCTGGGCTGGGCTGGGCTGGGCGGCCTTCCTCCTTGACATTTAAAAGAGGCCTGGCATGGTGTGGTTTCACTTGGGTTTAAAATGTCAGTTGTCTTTTGGCACTGGGGGCTACCCCTAGGATGGTAGGGGAGGGCGTATGGGTGGGGACTTGTTTATCTGGGAAGCCCTGAGGTTTTCGGGGGTGGTTAATACTGCTTACAAAGCATGCCTGGTGCTGAAAACTAATAACCACTTGTCATTTCCTATCAGGAGTGTCATCAGACAGGCTGCTTGGTGAATGTTGGGTCTCTTGCAGAGTGGGGGGCAGGGTGGGGTGGGAACTGGTATTTGGTTTTGAGTTTGTGTTATTCTTTATTTAAGATGCTGAACTGGAAAGAAGGCTCTCCTAGAATTTTTTGTTTTAATGTCTATTTTAAGTCTTAAATGAGCACAGAGCTTTTTTTTTCTTTGTTTTTAATCTGTTCGGTTCCTTACTCCCTACAAAGCTCCTGGTGCACAGCTGATGCTCAATAAATATTCTTGAGAGAGAGGGTGAGCGTGTCCACCACAGATACTTGAAATGATTTTGGAGGACACGTGCAATGGCCTTCAGTTAATGTTACAGCGTGTGCTTCGAAAGTGTTACCCTCTTAACACTTAGGGTAGCCCTTAGGATTGTGCTGGAGAACATCCTGGCTTGGGCCACTGTGTCCTTTCTATTCTTCTGAGACTTGGCAGTCTCCTTGTTTAAGGAGGAGGAAGTGGGACCGAAACTTAGTGTTTTCAGCCAGGGCCCCTGTCTGGTTAGGATTTCATGATACCATTTTATTGGCCTTTTGAGTTGATCATTCTACTGACAGTAAATGCTGTCTCTATAGTTTCCCGTTTAAAGAGATTTTCTTTCTTAAAAAAAATGGACTGATTTAAGAAAAGTAGTACGCAAAGAAAGGTAGGCAACCCTAGCTGTCACCCCAATCATGAAGGTGGTTCAAGAGAGACTCTGGTTCAGAAGGCCCGGTGCCTGGGACTGCTGAAAAATGGGCTGGTTCCAAGTCCTACGCTGTACAAAGAAATCTCCATATGAGGAGAGAAATCCAGGAGGGAAGGCTTATGGAGTCAAGCTCAGTCTTCACATTCAACTCTCAAAGGTAGTCTCAAAAGGAAATGTCAGAAGGGGCTCCAGAAACTATGTCACCTGGGAGCAAGGGGTGGGAGAAAGGCCTGAAAACAAATGGGGACCAGAGCCCAGGGGTGGGCAGGGAAGCCAGGGAAGCCACCCAAACCATCCATGAGGTTGTTCAGAAAAGGGCAAAGCTCCTCTGTGCAAAGCGGGCTCCTCTGTGCAAAGCGGGCTGCTCTGTGCAAAGCGGGCTCCTCTGTGCAAAGGCTCAGATGGTCACGGCCAAGCATCTGCATTCAGCAGTGATGTCTGTCTCCTCTTGGGACCCTGATCCCTGACTCAGAGTTCACCACACCTGAGGCCATCTCTGTGGCTCTGGTTTTGAAAGAGAACATTTTCAGTCCATAGCTTTAAAGACAGACTCCCAGGAAGAACACCCTTAATGAAGAATAATGCAAATGACCTAGAGTGAAGGCAGGGGAAGGCAGAGGGAGAAACAGTGGCTGTCTCATGTCCGCACCCAGTGAAGACAGGCCCTGTGATCTGCAGTGGCTGTCTCATGTCCGCACCCAGAGAAGACAGGCCCTGTGATCTGCAGGAGCCTAGGCAGGTGTCTGTAAGAATCTCTGACATTTCCAGGATTGATTTTTCTTTTCTGTCTGATTGAAGTGTCCAGAAGGAAAATTATGATTTCTAAGAGGAACCCTAGAGTCTGGTGACAGCTCTGACGGCTAATTGGTTCCTTGTAGTCTTTGAAACTGATGATCTGAAATGTTCTGCGTTTTCCTCCAGCCTACTTAGGTATCTTGAGGGCTCAGGGCATGGAGGTGCTTGCACACTACGCTTTCTGCCTTCCTGCATCTGCTGGGCTGCTTGTGCTTGTTATAACCTTTCCCCCGAGCCCAGAAAGTTCAGTTCCTTTCATTGGAACCGGAGTTTTGCTTGACAGGGAAATCAAGCCAGCAGCAGTGGTTGTAAACGAGTTAGAAGCAGGAAGAGAGGAAACTTAGCTACCGCCACAGCCAATAAGCCATGGATGCCTGTAGTTTTTCAGATACATGTATGTGTCTGTGTGTGTGCAGGCATGTATACTCTGTGTGTGTGTGTGTATATGTATATTTATTTTTCTATGTATTACTCTTATCTGTGAGAATCCCAGGAGGCTGGATTCCCTTAGCTCATCATTATCAGAGAATATTGAGACCTTACGGCACATGGCAAAGAGCTGAAGTGGGGGACCCGTGTGTTGTGTCCTGGGCCACTACGGAGCTTAAAATGAAGACAGGACAGGGATATAGACACATCTACACAGTTACATACAGCATAGCACTAACCGAAGACCTGAAGGAGACTTCCAAGCAGGCCCAGAATAAACAAATATCCTTTCTTAGGGAGGAAGATAGCACGTGTAAGAATTCATGGCAAGTGGGTGGAGAGAAGATCAAGAGTGGTGAAGATAACTTTGGCGATTTCCAAATCCCAATTGAAGAGGGCAGAAAAGTTGCACAAATTTTTCTTTGATCAGCCTGGGAAGGTGTCTCTAACAAGCAGGATGTTAGGGGAACAGAGGGGGAGAATGAGGAATCCCACACATGCCTTTGGGGGCCTGTCTACACAGGGGCTTTGAACAAGAGAGCTGGGATTGGGTTTGAAGACAGGGCAGGAGACAGGTTATGTCTTCAGATGAGACGGTCACGAGAGGTTGAATTTTGGATCCAGGCAGCACTTGGAAGAAAGGCATCGTGGAGTTTGTAAACACTGGGGTGGGCTTGAAGCTCCCACTGGCCACTACAAAGGGAGAAGATGGGGTGGAATTAGCCTGTGGGCTTCCAGGCATATCCTTGTGTGTCTCAGGCTACTCCCCATGAGTCTGCCCACCAGCCACCTGTCTCCTGAGCAATTCCTTAAATTTTGTGCA